CATAGAACTGATCAAAGTAAAGGATAACTCTGCAATGACAGCCTTAGAGGTTATAATTGCATGATTTGTCATAGTTGATTACATAATTTCAATGTCCCGTATTGATGCTTACGTCGAGTTTACTTGCAGGTCACTGCCGGTGGAAAGTTGTTTAATGTTGTTGTTGATACTGAAGATACTGGAAAACAGCTCCTTAAAAATGGTGATCTTCGCAGAAGAGTGACAATTATACCTTTGAACAAAATTCAGTCCCACCTTGTTCCCCCTCGAGTGCAGCAAACTGCTGTTAGATTGGTTAGTGATTGATATTGTTTTTCTTTTTCTGCAAAATTAACATCATCGTTTGTCCACTATTTAATGATTTTATCACTGAATTTTCAGGTTGGCAAGGAGAATGCAGAATTGGCACTCTCTTTGGTAGGCTACAGTGAAGAATTGAAGGTAATAATTCCATGGGGCTTGCTAGTCTTCTGTTGATTTCTTTAAATGGTAAATTGTTTTTGTTGGGTTCTCGAAAAAAAAAATAAGGGGCTTGCTAGTCTTCAATGTGAATTGGCTCTGTATGATTCTGGTATTTGATATTTATGATTATAAAAGCAGAGAATGATGCATAACCAGAAAAGGAAATTTTTGTTTTCAAACCCTATTTGTCCTACATCAGAATGTATATTGTGATTAACTTAAACACTTATTGGTTGTCCTTGTACATGCTGATTTGCAGAGTGCTATGGAATACATCTTTGGTTCAACATTTGTCTGCAAAACCATTGATGCTGCAAAAGAGGTATTTCCATCTGTTGCAGTCAGTCCTATAATTTACTGTTTATATTGCTGCTTTTCTTTGTTTTCTGAAGAGTGCACATATTGAACCTTCTGGTTTCCTGCTCTTTTTCTGATCAAACTTTCTGTCTATTGATTTTTTTGTCAGCTTGTGGTTAGTGTTGAATTTCTGCAGGCTATTTCTATCTTGATAACTCCTCTATTGAAAAGTCTTGGCGTGCCTTCTCCAATATGTTATTTTAATTCTTTCAAAGCAAAGTGATTCCTGAATGTTAAATAAATTATTTAAAATTCCAAATTTAATGGTGAAGAAATGATCTTAAATAATCGGCCTGACATGTTTATTGCCAGCTCATGCCCATTTATTTCTGGTTTTAATTTCCTCTTTTGTTATTTATTCAACAAAGAAAAAAGTTATGTTCAGTAATTCAAATATTGTTTTTCTTTTGTTTTGACTTGGTCTTGAATGCATGTCTCATAGGTTGCTTTTAATCGGGAAACTCGCACCCCAACTGTCACTCTTGAAGGTGATATATTTCAACCAAGTGGTCTGCTGACTGGTGGAAGCCGCAAGTGCGTCACTAACCTACTGATTTTTGTTGTTGAATTCTTATACATGGCTTACTTTATGCTGCCTATGTTTTATTTTCTGATTTGAGATAGTATATGGATGAATGATCATCTGCAAGATGCTTGAAGCATTCATTGTTAGTGAAGCTATGTTAATGTTCATAAGTTTCTGTCAATTGGCACATAAAAAGCCTGCACTACAACAAACTTGCTGAAACAGTAGTTTATTGTCACAGGGGTGGTGGTGAATTGTTAAGGCAACTTCATAAATTGGCAGAGGCTGGAAAAGAACTTGTAATACATCAGAAAAAGTTATCTGAGATTGAAGCAAAGGTTGGCGTTAAGACTTCATCCTCTCTCTTACACTCTCTCTTCTTTTTCATTTTCTGAATGATAATTGAAAATTATGTTACTCTGGGTCTATGTGATATGGGTTTGGCACATGGATGATAAAATCTATTGAAAATTTATGCCCATTGAAAATTTATTGCAACATGCACAGATTGCAGACGTGTTACATACTCATGTCTATGCCCATATCTAGATTTGAGAAACATGATCTCATTCATAATTTATATGTTTATAAGTATCATTTCATATTAGAAAAAATTGATCCTATTATCATAAATATCCTTGGGAATAATTGCCTAATGACTGAATCACGTTAGCCTTATATCATTTATTTCCTGGTGTTTGATATCTTTATGTTTTAGAACAACATACGTTAATGCTATTTGGTATTTAAAATTGATGATGACTAGTGGTAGGAGGTGTGACCAGTGATTGACGGGACTCTTCCCTCTATTGTCCTGCTGTATAAGATATTATCTGGTTTGATTTTTTCCACTTTATGATTGGAAAGTTCTAAAATAGCCTTGTTGCTGGGAAGCTTATTCAAAGTTGTGATCAACTGCATGAGTTCTTATTTTTTGTCTTCTTCTTCTTTTTTTTTTTTTTTACTTTTTAACCAAATTGGAAGAGCATTTTGGAGATCCTGCTCTGGTTTCCCTTTTAAGATTGGATTTTTTGATCATGTGAATCACACCCCTGGCCAGTGGGAGAGTTCATATCTAAAGTTCTACTGGCAGTTAATCTCAATAGAAAGGATTAATTGTAAGTGGTGACTTGTTATCTTCTCTTTGGTTCTTGTATATGTTTTCTTTTGATAATAGTGTATATTATACATTTATTTCAGGGGGTTTGGAGGATCATTATACTGTCATTAATTGCTTAACTGGATCTTGTTGAATTATCTGATAACTAGAATTTTGTTGTAATTGTTTAACCATTGCAAGTTTCTGAGATCTCATGCAAAGATGGCAAGGGCCTGCTGTTTTTTTTACTAATATTTTAAACTTTAATCTGCCTTTTGTCTTATTTTTTTCCTTCAACTGTTTCTTATCTTGAGATTGCAGATCAAGGAGCTTCTGCCTCTTCAAAAGAAGTTCATGGACCTTAAAGCACAGTTAGAACTTCAAATGTATGACCTCTCTTTATTTGAAGGCAGAGCCGAACAGAATGAGCATCATAAGGTTTTGCCCCTTTTAACATGTTTGAGCATCATGCTGAGTTGTCACACTGCCTCCTTTTGCTCTATCAAATGTTATGTTTTTTTACTTCATCTATCTTTGGATGTTTTATTTCAAAAAGAAATCTATCTTTGGATGTTTGTAGCTTGCTGAAGCTGTGAAGAGGATTGAACAAGAGCTGGATGAAGCAAAGTCTTCACTCCTAGAAAAGCAACTTCTATATGAAAAGTGTGTTAGCTCTGTTTCCATGCTTGAAAAATCCATAAAAGATCATGACAGTAATCGAGAGGGCTGGCTGAAGGACTTAGAGAAAAAGGTTAAAGCTATGAAAGATAAAATGCAGTCAGCTTCAAAGGATCTAAAGGTAGTTCCCATAATATGTAGTGTGAACTTGCTGACTACTATGCTCCATCTGTTTAAATTACCAGAATGGCATAAGTTTTGACCTTCTCTTTTTTTCTGTGTTGATTGAGGCTGCCCATAGACTCTGGTTGCTTTTTTTCTGGTGGTTGATTTTAAGTTTGTACTATTTGGTGACCATGTGTTATTTAACCAATTATTAAATAGCATTGGTAGGCTTTTTTCTGGTCTTTGAAACATCGAAATCTGTTACAAAAACACTTGCTCTGGCATTTTACACTTTCTGAAACTCAATTGTGAAGATTCAGAACCAGAATAGAGTGGTTAATTACCTTCATATTTTATTTTCCTTTATTTTTAATTCAATTCATGCTGATTTTACATTTCAGTTAAATATTCATTCTTTCACAGTATCTTTTTTTTTTTTTGGCTGTTAGAGGCATGAAAACGAAAGGGAGAGACTTATTATGGAGCAGGAAGCAGTCATGAAGGAGTGCACATCTTTGGAAAGTCAGTTAGGTTTATTGGGAGCACAGATTAGCAATCTCTCTTCAGAAGTAGAGGAGCAAAGGGCCAATGTAAGCGCATATATCTGCTTTTAGAAATGCTCTAGAATGGACCATATGAAATGTTCTCCTACCATTCAGGTTGCTTCCACTCAGAAGGTTCTAGATCAGGCCCAGTCTGAGCTCAAATTATTGCGCTTAAAGATGAAGGAATGTGATTCTGAAATTAGTTGCATTCTCAAGGAACAGCAGACACTTCAGCATAAGCTTGATGAGACAAAGCTTGAGAGGAAGAAGTTGGAAAATGAGGTAACTTTGTTTGTTTCTATCTATTACATTTCCTGTATTTTCAGACAATTAAAATCAGTTTTCCAACTTCTATAACAGGTAAAGCGAATGGAGACAGAGCAGAAAGATTGCTCACTAAAAGTAGAAAAATTAATCGAGAAACATGCATGGATAACATCTGAGAGGCAGCTTTTTGGAAAAAGTGGGACAGATTATGATTTTACATCCCGTGATCCAAAAAAAGCAAATGAAAAACTTGAGAGACTGCAAGCTGAACAGTCAGGGTGTGTTACAATGACTAATAAATTTGTTATTCTCCTAAAAAGTTTCATATTAAGTCTTAGATCTGTTTTCCATGTTCGTATGCTCAAGAAGGATAGCACACTTCTATTCTCTTCCTTGATATGGAAATGACATTTATTATTTATTTTTCTTGTTCGTTTTTTCTCTCTTTTGAAGGCTTGAGAAAAGAGTGAACAAGAAAGCTATGGCCATGTTTGAGAAAGCAGAGGATGAGTACAATGATTTGATGTCCAAGAAAAACATTATTGAGGTTTAGTTTACTCACACTGTCTTAATGTTTTTGTATCTCAATTTATCTGTTCTTATGGTAGATTTCTTTTGCTTAGAATGATAAGTGCAAAATCAAGAAGGTGATTGAAGAGCTAGACGAAAAGAAAAAGGAAACTCTAAAAGTTACCTGGGTTAAAGTTAACAAGTGAGCATTTTCTTTTTCCTGCTTTTTAGTTTTTGTTCACTCTTGCCTCCACTATGACAGTTCTGGTGGTTCTTGTTTTTTTTCTCTTTTCCAGTGACTTTGGATCTATCTTTTCTACCCTTTTACCTGGCACAATGGCAAAGCTAGAACCTCCAGAAGGTGGCAGTTTCCTGGATGGTCTTGAGGTTCGTGTCGCATTTGGAAGTGTTTGGAAACAGTCTCTGTCTGAACTTAGTGGAGGGCAACGGTCTCTTCTCGCACTTTCTCTAATTTTGGCACTTCTTCTATTCAAGCCAGCTCCTCTTTATATACTTGATGAGGTATGCATTAAATTGTAGTTCACTTTTAAAGCTGTTGGATCTTCAGTGCTCTAGCATGTTTTGACATGGAATCCTTTTCTTTTATTCTTGGTCTATTATGCTGCTTTCTAATAATTTTAGAAGGATGCACTAGATGGAATAAAAATATTACAATGTTATTACCCTTGTACGTTCTATAGTAAATGGCATAATGACTATTAATACAAGATGCTATGAGTTGTATAAATGTTTGGGAATTGGAAAACATATATCTGTTGTTCTGGATACTAGTAATGAGTTTATTGTCATTGCTCCTTTTATCCAAGGAAGGAGTCATACGATTACTGAATATTCTTAAATTGTTTTTAATACACAAGTAAACCTTTCATGGCATTATTTGGGATAGACACTTTGTTGTAGTTGAAATATGACAATATGGTGCAGTGCTAGTTTAGTGATTTATATTACAGATAAATCAAGGATTTGCTTCACAATACCTTGTGAAGGTTGATGGAAGGTAAAATTCTTGAGTATTAAGGTTTTATGTGATTAAAGAGTGCAGAACTCTGTGGTGTTGCATGTTTGTAATTACTGACTTTTAGCCAAGAAAAAATCTTTAGTTTCCATGATCGAGATGGATAGAACATAAATGTGTGTGGATATTCGTGTACAAGCAATGCTCACACAGACATTCAAATACTATATAATATTAAAGTCGAGTTTGCTTCAGTTCTCATTTAAATCCTGTGCTGTTAATTCTCATATTAGCCTTAACACAGAAAATGCAAAACATAATTTGTATGTTTTAGCTACTGTCACTCAAGTATGAATTCTTTAATGGCGGGACTTAGATTTTTGTCTTTCTACGTGGCAGTGGAATGCTTACCACCAAGGAATTTAAATTGAAGATGATGGTAACTAAGACTTACAAGTTAAATTATGCATATTAAAGACTAACACAAGAATTAAAACTAGAAATTGGGTAGGAATTGAATGATAAATGAACCAAATACAAAGTTTTTTTTCAGTTGCATTACTGCTGTTCTATTTTCATAAGACATCATTGGTAAAAAGTTGAGGGCAATTGTATCTCAAATAATGAAATTCTTAATATGGTTGGCAGGTTGATGCAGCTCTTGATCTGAGTCACACACAGAATATAGGGAGAATGATTAAGACTCATTTTCCACATTCACAGGTTTGATAATTTCTTCTTGGATTGCAACTTTTCAAGATATTTATACAATATTTTCATGGAGTTCTGAACTTGTGGCCTTAGAATATGGAACTAGTGAATGCATACTGTCACATAGATATAAATGGTCCCTCTTGGGTAATTATTAGTTAAATACCTAAGGGCAGGGGTAGGAAAAGGGAAAAGAAAATTTGAACAATTGAGCAATTAAGTGGATAGTTAACAATTCTTTATTGTGAATTGTATATGGGCAAATATTTTATGATCTGCTTTGGGTTCTTGTGCTCTGCAGTTTATAGTGGTTTCACTAAAGGAAGGCATGTTCAATAATGCCAATGTTCTGTTCCGTACAAAATTTGTGGATGGTGTTTCTACTGTCCAGAGAACTGTTGCCCCCAAGTAGAACGAGTAACTGCTCTATCTTGTCAGGTTGTGTTGGTTGTAATTCGCTCATGTACTTAACTGTGTCCTGGCTAAATATTTTGTAGATAGCATTTTGGTTAATTCAAGGGTTAATTTATGGGCATGATTGTAAGATGCCTTACTGTGATTCTTATGGTCGAACGGGTAAAATGTAGATGTAACATAAAAGTTATACAAATTTTCATGATCCGCAATCATTCTGTTGCGATCTTTCTACTTGACTCGGGTAGTGATGGAGAGATTTCAACTTATTTCTTCCTGAAGTTACTTTAGCTTAAAAAATGGCTAGTGATTTTACAAACTGAAGTTGCAGAATGTCTTGTACTTCCTACTCCATGCCCATCTCAAGGAGGAGCAGCTCTCTTAAGCTTTTCAATTACAGAAAACTGACTGTATTTTTTCATCATATTATCATAATTTTATTTTTAATGATGCTATTATTTTAAAATAATACGAGATAATTATTATATCATTCTATGTCTTCATCAATTTATATTACGATATTTGATTGTTATTTACTTTTGAAGTTAAGACTCAGAGATTATCTTAAATTGTTATCTATTATTGAAATGTGGATTTAAAATATCTTTTGTTAGAAATTTTTAGAAACATTTCAAAAACTAAAGTAATTTATTTTAAATGGTATTGTAATTTTATTATAGAGTTAATTATTGGAGTTTGAGTTTTATTTTTTTTATTTCACATAAAAAAATCTATGAAATAATATTATATGTTATTCTTACCTATTTAACTTATTATTTTAGTAATAAACAATATTATTAATTAATTTCTTATAATTAATAATTTTTCTTTCTTTCTTTCACAAATCTAAATGTATTAAGCAGAAATTGCTAAAAAAATATATATATATATTTTGAAATCTCTCTTTTTCTTTTTCCTTACATTATTTTACTAACTTCTATTCAAACATATATATATATATATATATATATATATACACACATATATACTTCTTTTGAGAACACAAGGCACATGCTATTCTACTAAAAGTCATAGTAGACTTCCTCCCATAAGAACCAAAAGAACAAGTGGTTCCTGAAAACAAAACATAACATCAGTGTCAAGTAAAGTTTACTTAGCCACTTGATCACAATCTCTACCCATTGAGAACTAAAAAAGACAAAACATGTTTAATACAACATCACTAATTAACCAACCCAACTCATTTATAGGCATGGATGATAAGTAGACTAAAATTATAGTTTGAATGTAAATATCATATTAACATGTTTTGTTTATTATATGTTATTTTAAAATATTTATTTTAAGGTCAATACTTATATCTATGTAACTATAATTATTTTAAACTAAAAATATTTTAAACCATTTAAATTATTATTTAAAAATAATATAATTAAATTTCCATTGTTATGTATTTTTATTATTTTAATATTTTTTTTATTAATTTATGACATTATTGATTAAATATAATAAAAGTATTAACATTATGACCACAAATATTTGTAAAAATATTTAAAATATATAACAAAAGTATAGAGATGATTTTTAGAAAAACAATTTAACGCGTGTTGACCAATAGGTGCTGCAAAAGAGCAATATAAGTTTTCAACACCGTTTAAGGGCAGCAGTACTTGACTGACAGAGTGGAAGTTTTTCCAATCAATCTCCACTATCACTGTATTCACAAATCTCATATCCTTTAAGAATTAAGACAAAAAATTCCACGAATAATATATATATATATATATATATATATATATGTGCGCGCACACACACACACAGACACATATAAACACACAAAAAAAGCAAAGAAAAAAACCGAACCTTGTCATTCATGGCCAACCTAGAAAATCATGTTACAGTACTGGCTTTCTTAGTTGCATGGACTGCTCTGCTTGTTTCCTGCAAAATCGGCGCAGGACCCAAATCAGAAACAGAGGCTTTGCTCCAGTGGAAGCAGAGTCTTGGGAACCAATCTGTTTTTGAATCATGGGTCGGTTCAAGTCCATGCAAATGGCGAGGAATCACCTGCAACAATGTTGGAAATGTAACTGTAATCAACCTGGCTTACAATCCTTTAACTGGTACTCTCCAAAACTTAGACCTCTCTGCCTTCCCAAATCTTCTCCGTCTTGACCTCAAATTCACCAAACTCACTGGCCCGATCCCAGAAAATATCGGTGTTGTTTCAAAGCTCCAATTCCTTGACCTTTCCAGCAATTCTTTTCATGGTACTTTACCGCTTTCTCTTTCGAATCTCACTCAGGTTTATGAACTTGACGTTTCAAGAAACAATCTAACAGGTGAGCTAGACTCTCGTCTGTTCCCTGATGGATCTAATTCTGTACCAAAAACTGGGCTTCTCAGCTTAAGACACCTTCTTCTTCAGACAACAGGGCTTGGTGGGAAACTTCCTGAAGAAATAGGGAACTTGAAACACCTGTTTCTTCTTGCTTTAGATGAAAATAACTTTGTTGGGTCTATCCCTCAATCTATTTGTAATTTGACAGAGTTAAGAATTCTACGACTCAATCAAAATCAATTCACGGGTCAGATTCCTTCAAAGATTGTTGCTTTGAGGAAGTTAACCGATTTGCGCCTCTTCTCAAATTACTTATCTGGGTCAGTCCCAGAGGAGCTGGGTAATCTTTCAGCTTTGACGGTTCTTCATTTGGCTAACAATAGCTTCTCTGGCCATCTACCGCCACAGATTTGTAAAGGAGGAAAGCTTGTTAATTTCAGTACAACTTTCAATTCTTTCACTGGTTCAATACCGATAAGCCTGAAGAACTGCTCAACGTTGTACAGAGTTCGGCTGGAGTATAACGAACTGACAGGAGATATAGACCAGGATTTTGGTGTGTACCAAAATCTCAGTTACTTGGACTTGAGTTACAACAAATTGAGAGGTCAACTCTCGCCGAAATGGGGGCAAAACCGGAACTTGACAATGCTGAATCTTGCTGGGAATATGATAAGTGGGAAAATCCCAGATGAGATAGCTGAGTTGAATCAGCTGGTAAGGCTTGACCTTTCATCTAACCAGCTTTCAGGAGAGATACCGGCACAACTTGGAAAATTATCTCAGCTTGTCTTCTTTAGTCTAAGAGACAATAAGCTTTCAGGCGACGTAGCAGCAGGAATTGGAGGACTTTCAAATTTGGTGTCTTTGGACCTGTCAATGAACCAGCTAAGTGGGCAAATTCCTGTTCAAATTGCGGAGTGCTCAAAGCTGCAATTTTTGTCTTTGAGCAAAAACCAATTCAATGGAAAAATTCCAGACCAGATGGGTAATCTTCTAGAGTTGCAAGCTTTGCTAGATTTAAGTTATAATTCTCTTTCTGGGGAGATACCAAATCAGCTTGGGAGGCTTACAAGTTTAGAAAACTTGAATCTTTCTCACAACGATCTCTCCGGTTCAATTCCAGATTCCCTTAGCTCAATGATAAGCTTATTGGACATCAATCTGTCGTATAATAGATTAGAGGGTCCCCTTCCTAATGGAACAATTTTCCATTCAATTAAACCAGATGCTTTTAGTAACAACAAAGGACTATGTGATGATCAGATCCCAGGTTTGCAGCCCTGCAACCACAGTTCTGTTACTCAAAAGCGCCGGGAAAAATCAAAGATCAAACCTTTGATTGTCATTGTTTTTTCTTTAGCAAGCGCATTGTTCCTGGCTTTTTCAATTGTGCTCATCATAATTCTGGCAGGTCCGAAACAAGCTCCTAAAAATGAAAGAATAACAAAGACGGATAATTTGTTCTCTGTGCAATATTTTAACGGGAAGATCGTCTATGAGGATATCCTCAAAGCAACAAACAACTTCGATGATCGCTACTGCATTGGTGCCGGCCAATCTGGGAAAGTTTACAGAGTTGAAATGACTAACGGTAAAGTTTTTGCAGTAAAAAAACTGCACACACAGTCTACAGATTTTGATTATCAAGAGATCAAGAGCTTCACCAATGAGATTGCAGCTCTTACAGAAATCCGCCATAGAAACATTGTGAAGCTTTACGGCTTTTGTTATCAAGGAAGACATACATTCTTGGTGTATGAATTTGTGGAAAGAGGAAGCTTAGCTGATATTTTAAGTAGTGAGACAAGAGCTAAGGAGTTGGGTTGGGCGGAGAGGTATAAAATTATAAAGGGTGTGGCTCATGCCCTTTCTTACTTGCATCATGAGTGCTCCCCACCATTAATTCATCGAGATATATCAAGCAAAAATATTTTGCTGAGTTCTCAACTCGATGCTCGTGTTTCGGATTTCGGAACTTCAATGTTTCTGAAGCCTGAATCCTCTAACTGGACAACACTTGCAGGCACATATGGTTATATGCCACCAGGTTTTCTCTTCTTTCTTCCTTTTGTTCTTCATATTTCCGACAAAGATTTCTGTAAAACTTAATCCATCCTTCCATAAACTAACACGATATATCACTAGTAAGTCTAAAAGAATAGATCAAACAGACATATAATTCATTTTTCAGAATTAAATCACGAAATTTTTAATGGTTAATTTTCTTTTTCTTGTTTTGGTTCAGAGCTCGCTTACACAATGGCAGTGAATGAAAAGTGTGATGTTTATAGTTTTGGAGTTTTGGGTATTGAAGTTTTAATGGGGAAGCATCCAGGTGAAGTGATTTCAAGTCTTCTATCGCCATTAGAACGAAAGTTGATCCAGTTAGAGGATGTTTTGGATAATCGTATCTCAGACTCCATGCCTGACGAAGTTGCAGACAAGTTATATATGTTGTGGAATGTATCAATCTCTTGCATATGTTCTAATCCAGAATCTAGACCATCCATGCGCACCGTTTCACAGCTGCTTGAAATCTAGCCACCCAATTCCCTGCTTATTGTAACAAAGAAAAATCCTTTTGC